CCGCCGCCGCAGCCGCGTCGTCCTCTGGAGGGCCGGGGCCGACGGGCCCCGCGGGCGCCGAGGCCGCCAAGCAGTGCAGCCCCTGCTCGGCCGCGGCGCAGACCTCGTCGGGGCCCGCGGCTCTGCCCTACGGCTATTTCGGCAGCGGCTACTACCCGTGCGCCCGCATGGGCCCGCACCCCAACGCTATCAAGTCGTGCGCGCAGCCCGCCTCGGCCGCGGCCGCCGCCTTCGCGGACAAATATATGGACACCGCCGGCCCCGCGGCCGAGGAGTTCAGCTCCCGCGCTAAGGAGTTTGCCTTCTACCACCAGGGCTACGCGGCCGGGCCTTACCACCACCATCAGCCTGTGCCTGGATACCTGGATATGCCGGTGGTACCCGGGCTCGGGGGCCCAGGCGAGTCGCGCCACGAGCCCCTGGGTCTGCCCATGGAAAGCTACCAGCCCTGGGCGCTGCCCAACGGCTGGAACGGCCAAATGTATTGCCCCAAAGAGCAGACGCAGCCTCCCCACCTCTGGAAGTCCACTCTGCCCGGTAAATGGCGCCCCCTTTCCAACCCCAGTCTTCTCCAACTTCTTTGCTCATGCCGGGGGGTCACTCGGGTGCCCCTTCTGTACTTTCCCTGTCCTGTCCTGTCCTAGTAGTTCTGCTCCTCTGGGAGCTTGACCCCAGCTGGCTGGCGCTGTCCGCCCTGTCCTAAGTTGCGCTGGCCCCTGGTCTTCCTTGGGAGAGGGGTGGCTGGGAGCGAGTTTGTTGATTCCTACTCAGGCAGCCCCCTTCTTCCTGTGCGACCGACCCTCCCAACTCCTTGACATTGACCCAGAGATGAGGAATTGACTTGATATTTGCCTCTGATCATTTTATGAAAAATGGCTTCGTTAGAGAAGCATTGAATGTCGGGGCAAGTTGAGAGGAGCCAGGCTCTACAGAAGTGCTGTGCCCTGTTGAGAGCTAAGGTGTGGACCACTGGGCCAGGCAGCCGAGGAGCGCTGTACATACAGAATAACCCAGTTGGGTCACTGGAACTCTGGGTGTTTTCATTTCAGTGCAAAATTATGCTCCCCACTAAACGCTCCAGGCTTTGGCAGAAGGCCGGATTGTTCAGGGCGCGTGGCAAAGAGCAGCCCTGCGCTGCAAGGCGAGTGGCTCAGATGAAGCTGTCGCATGTGTCTGGGTTCAGGTCGGCTCCTGTGTAACTTGCCTTCTCCCTTATCTTACAGACGTCGTCTCCCATCCCTCAGATGCCAACTCTTATAGGAGGGGGAGAAAGAAGCGGGTGCCTTACACTAAGGTGCAATTGAAAGAACTGGAACGGGAATACGCTACGAACAAATTCATTACCAAGGACAAACGGAGAAGGATATCAGCCACAACGAACCTCTCTGAGAGGCAGGTCACAATCTGGTTCCAGAACAGGAGGGTCAAAGAGAAAAAAGTCATCAATAAGTTGAAGACCTCTAGTTAATGGATTAAAAGATGGAGCAGAGGGCAACTTGAAGAAGTACTTCAGAACTCGTTGCTTTGCCCAGATAATGATAATAATGTTTAATAATAACAGAAGAAGTGGAAAGAGAGACACTGGCCTTTTGCTTTCCTAAGGGGGAATCTCTTTCTCATTAATGGAATCTGCAACTTTTTAAAAAAGAGAAAAAAAAAACTTAAGAAATGGTAAAGACTGCCAGTTCTCCCGACAACCCCAGCAGACCATTAAATGACAAACTCTAGAGTCACCTCATCAACCCCTAAACACACAATTTCAGATAAATTACGCATTTACTGAAATCTTGTAAGTATTTATGTGACTGTTTTATTTTAGGATACTCTGTTAGATGGTAACAATCCGAAAACTGGTTTTCAAAAGCAAAATGCTGTCTTAAATATCTGCTTGTCCCTTGCCAGCCCCTTTGCATGTGCCCGCTCAGGTTAAACCTTAATGAAATTCCTACCATTGTATCTTCTGAAAAATATGTCATGTATAGGTTTAGCGGGGAAAAGAGAAAACACTGAAATTTTTATCTCAAACTGAAGGGAGAAAGCTTTTCCAAAGATCATTTGTCTTGATATTAAATATGGCCAGCCAAACCTCTGAAGCTATAAGTGAACCCTGAGGTTGGTAACAAACTTATGAAAATAACTTTCAGTTGCTTATAACAAGCATGTTTATGGCATTTGGACTACCCCAGTATCAGAGATTTTTCCATGGGATTTGGTATACATTTTTAAAAGTGTCTAAATCTCACCAGATGATCGTCACAATTCCCCATCCCCTGAAAGGTCTCACCCAAATATGATGGACTTCACCTGAAACATACCCCCCTTTTTTCACTTAAATTGGCATTTTCCATACTTGTTAAACGTTTTTCTAGAGAGATCGCTTTTTTTTAAACTTTTTTTAGAAAACTCAAAATGGAAACCCATCCTCCCAAAACATTTAGATGTCTACATTCAATAATTTAATCTATTAAAGGATTAGTATTTTTCCTTGTTTATTGTGTTATGAGACCGTATTAGAAAGTTTAGGGCTTCATCTTCACAGCACATTTTTATCAAGCAGTAATTTCAAGTCACACATTCGTTTTGTTCATATTCACTGTAAATGCTATCTTGTAAATAAAGACATTCAGCACACGGTGAAAATGTATTTGTGCACCTGCTTTTTAAATATTTCTATTAAAAATGAAAAATTGGAGCTGTAGATAGTGATATAGTGGTATTAATTCTATTAATAAAAGAGATCACTGCCATTACAATCTGAAGGAAATACTCGTTATTTTTTTATACTAAACATGCACTGCATGAAAAGAAAATTAGCAGGTTTGTCTTGTGTGAGACCAGGACTATTCTTTTCCATTATTATTCAGCT